CCATTTTTTCTGAACCGTCGTGATTCAAAGAGCTCAGGAAACAGGCAAGATAGCCCCCAGTCTGTTCTGAGGCTAAACTACAATGCCTCTACAGGTTTTTTGGACTTCTTATGAAAAGATTGACAGACAAAATGCAGAAAAATCTCACTTGCTTTAAACTTGGTTATACTCATTTATTTAAATAGCTTAACAAAATTAATTTGGGGGGGGGGCAGGGTAAGAGTATGTAACCAGTGAAAACCAGAAGTTACAGGGTTCTGTGAAGATAGTATTTCAAGAAAACTGTAATGATGTAAAATGTACAGGTAATGCATTTAGAAAGTAAATGGAGACAGACCTTCCATTAGCATCATATTAGAATCCTATGTTTTAAATCTTTATAAAAATAGTTAAAAGGCAAATAAAATGGGATGTCAGACATAAGTGATGTGGATAATGTGAACCCATGATGTTATTGTCTGCAGAGTGCAGATGATATGAGGCAGAAATGTGGAAAATAAGTTAAGCCTAAGTTAGAACAGCCACCAGGAAGTATTTTAGCGTGAAATAGACTATTTCTTATTTGCTATGGGATTTTCAAGGCTGATGAGAGCATGGGGAGGGAGGAAGTATCTAGTGTGAAGTAGATGAGCATCTGTTTTTTCTAGTACTATTAAGTTGATTTGGATTTTAAAACTCAAAATAACCTTTTATGGGAATATGCATGCAGTGGGTCTGCAGTCTGTCCCAGACCAGACTGAATGAATCTGTGTGACTTACTGTCTCAGGAAAGTTTTTAGGGACATACAACCTTCATGACTTGTAATGGAGCTCCTTTGTGCTTGCTACTGCAACATCTGCAGCTTCTGGGCTTCTGTCAAGAGGGAGGTTTGGTCTCTTTTGGTTCTGGGTATGCCATTCTTGTCTATACAGCTCTCCTATCCACTCCGGTAATATGAGATTCTTATGTTTCTGCTTGATTCTATTTATCTTTCTTTCTACCCCTCGCACTATGGTGCATAAGGGTTATGCTTTAGTTCAGCAAAACCATCCTTGAAATATTAGGTGAAAAACAATTGCTTTGGAGTAATAATTTTTCTCTTCATAAATTAAAATAGCAATGTAAAATCAATTCTGTTTTCAGGATGTAATCATCTATATTTCACCTGCATGCTCTAAGTTCGAGTAGAATGGCTCTGTGTCAGCAGGTTCTATGGCAAGATGGGAGAAGGTATCTCCTATTTTTTTTTCTCCAGGCAGTAGATGATAATCTGTATGGCAATTGTTGAGGCCCTGAGGCTGATGTTGTTTCTTCATGCCTCCAATTCCTGATGTGTTGAGACACACAGTAAATCTTCCTGAAGCTAGGAAGGCTCCACGTATAAGCAGTAAAGAGTAGAAAATTACATAGGTACCTTTCTCTCCTTTTCCTTAAAACAATGGTACATGGCTTCTACTGTGTCTGAGACTTTCACAGCTGTAAAGAAAGGCTCAAGGTTTATGCTTTCCATGTGTACACCTCCAAAAAGCACACTTTCACATGTTTTCCTTTTCTCAAGGTGTTTGAAGAAAGTCAGTCTGCGTAATTTGGGTTGTAGAAGGTAATGAATTGCAAATGAGAACAGAGATAAACTGTAAGAGTTTCTTTAAATCAGGATTTTCAGCTTTTGATATGAGTGCTATCACTAGTAACCCATGAAAGTAAGAAAACCAAGCATATTGTCAGTGTGCTTGCACTTTCTACATAGAGGTCTCAATCTTGATTAGAATATTTTTAGGGGGGAAAATAAAAATAATTGAAAATGCTGTGGAGATAATATTTCTTTAGTTAGTGGTGTCTTACTTCTCTCTTCCTGTTTTCAGAATTTTCACAGGCATACGAAAGTTATAAATTATAAATAAGTATGTGAACATGACTATTAAAGTAAAGGAGTAGTCCACAGAGAAGTTAGCGCCTCTTTGGATGAGGGATGATGATTCCCTTTTTCAGTAGGTCTCAATGGTAAGCATTGAGGTGCTAAGCAAAGTAAAAGTTTTACCTGCTTTGAGATGACAACTTTTCAAAACCTTACACAAGTAGAGAAAAGATGACAGATTACAACTGATAAACTCTAAAAGGCAAAACAAGTACTTAAAAATACATACCAGAGACATAAACAAAAGGCTAAGTAGGATATTAAGTGACTCAAAGAAAGCATAAATTACTTATTTATCAGACTGTGGCAATGGAAAGGAAAAACAGTATTGATGAGATAAGGGTAACCTGCACCCATGTTTTTAAGGATCAACAAATCTGCACCAACCTCTACCACCTGGCCATGTATCAAGTCTGCTGTATCTAAAAACATTTGATTGTATCCGGTTTAAATTGCCATTGACAGTTTGTGCTAGCAATCTTAGTTTTTCACCAGGCCAGTGTTTGTGTTTTGTGTGGGTTTGTTTCGGATTTTTTTGTGGGGTGTGTGTGGATTGGTTGGTTTGTTTGTTAAGTGGGGGAGAATTGTGTCAGTCCAGAAGGCAGTTGCTTTTGCTCAGGATCTGCCATGAGCCAGTAGAAGGAAAATGATTTTCATACCCAATATCATGCGAGATGCTCTTTGAAGGAGCTACAGAACTCTTTCAGGAAACTAGAAATATACAAGGATGGATTTCTCAGAGTGCATCGAGTGATGTTATTTGACTGGAGGATGGCTGGCACTGGAGAATTAGGATAAGTAATTGCATTGCCCCCAGTCACTGTGAGATATGGTTTTTATTGATCAATGCATTGAAGTTGAGATGGCAGAAAAGCTGCACCATTTTTCTGTGGAACAAGCTGTGGGTCATCTCTTGAATGCTGGATGACAACTGAAAAGAGGGGCAGATTTGGATACTCATGATAAAATATCAAAATTTGCAAATGCAAATCAGCAAGTTACATCTGGTTCATTTAAATCTGTGTGCCTTGGGGCTGAATTCTGGAAGCTTTAAGAGGTTTTCATGGCTCAAGAATTGGATCAGGCTTTTGCTTCTAGAATTACAAATATTCATGTTGTTTTATGAGTGATCCTGAAGTAGGAAAGAGTTGCTAGAATGTAATTTTGTATCTATGGCTTCCTAAATAGTTTAAAACCTACACTTTCTCATTGAAGTAGGTACCCTAATTTTGCTTTAAGCATAGCCAAATTGTTTGTGCATGGGAAAAGTGGTAGTGTTCTATGACAGAATTACTGGTCTTGTTAATATAGTTTGTATGGAATGATGTTATGTTAGCTTGTTTGATCCATTTTGCCAAGGGCACTGTTTGCATTGAAATGAATTACTTTTAATGGCACAGCAAGGGTGCAATACAGAGTTTTGTGTTTCCAAATTATCCATGTTGAATAAATACCATGCTCTTAGTGGCATTGTCATCAACATTTCAGTGTAGTGTAGTGCTGTGCCTTCCACTTCTGAATCCTGTGATTCTTGACATGAGACTCTTGTGACCTCTTGGAAAAGAGGTGAAAAGTCACAAGAATGACCACTGTTGTATAATAGTAGTTGAAACATCTCAGCTAATTCAGATGCATACTGGTAATTCAAATGAAACAAAAAAGCTTTAGATTATGCTGGCTGTTAAACTTGCTTGGTGTACGCTGTTTTCATCACTACTTAGAATTCATATAAGCAATGTGGTGTATGAGTGTGTGGGATAATGAGGGGTCAGTGGAGAACCAGACACGCTTCTTGTTTGCTGACATCATTAGTATCTGTAATGTTTTATGCTAATATTGTTCTAGGATTTAATATACCAGAGCTTATTGATAAATATGACATCAAATCATCTTTCTGCCTGTCCCTGCATCAACACTATTTTCACAGCAAATGTAGAACAGATGTTTTAAAATACTGGAAATAATGTATCTATAGGTAATGCAGATGCCTTGAGGGTATGGTTAAAGACTACCGGATTTGACTGAGTCCAACTTTTGTTCTTCTTCTAGTTAGCTTTGAAATAAATGGTACTAGATCTGGTTAGTGGCCACCAATTTAATTAATACCACAAAGTTATTGAAATGGTCAGACTTGTTTAAAAAAAATTCAGTAGGCCTACCTAAAGTCCTACTGTATGTTGATATTTATGCTATGTAAATTTAATAAACTTACTTGAAACTTGGTAGGTGTATAACGATAGTATTGAAGAATTTGAAAACAGAGCATTGTTCCACATCTGTCTGTTTGGCTAAATAAATTACAAGGATAGTTCTATCAAAGTAGTAATACGATATCCACAGGAAATAAAGAAAAATGTATTTCACAAACACTCCTTTTTCTAAATGAAAATCTAGATTATTGTTATGCAGCCTTTTCCTGAGAAGCTTATTAACAACAAATATTAGCAAGCTAGTACTTCATTGAACAAATAATACTGTGTTGTAAGACATTATAATTGTTTAGAAGGAAATATTCACTCAAATTAGTTAACTTTTCTTATTAAAATGTTTTTACTGATTACAGTCGAACTATTAGAAACACTGTTTCCTTGATCTCTCTTTCCTATTCAAAAGCCTCTTTGTTAATCCAAACAAAAATTAAAACCCTTGCCTATTTCCTTGTTCTGTCTTAATCTAATATTATTACTGAATTGCTACTTTTATATTGTCTTTTGAAAATGTAATTTTGAAAATACCTTAGTTTGGGTAGTTCTTAATGTCAACAGCAGCTTTTTTTTATATAATTCCACATGGTCAGTCATTTAAGTCCTTTAACATATCAAATAAGGTATGTTTTTGGGCCTATGTTTTTATTGTAATGTGTTAAATTCAAAATGTCAAGATATTTTCTAGCAAGAAAGAAATGAACAGATTTTTCTTCTGAATGGAATTAGTTTGAAAATACATTTTTAACAAGTCATCCTAAATACAAAATGTATGGTAAATCTTATTGTAAAAGCAACTACTCTAGGAAATGGGTTACTTTACAAGCATCATATATCAGAAAATGAACTTACTTTCCAAGAGGAAAACTTACTGAATTTTATAATATCTTTTTTCAGGTCTCTGACTTTGGAACAATAGATTTTTGCCTACTGGAAGAATGCAGTGAAACTGCCAATATTTCTAGCCGGAATTATAAATTTAATATTCAACTTTAGCGTTACTAATTTGTTACTAAATAGTACCTCAAAGTAGAAGAACAATGTATGGAAGTGCAAGAACAATCAGCAACTTAGAAGGAAGTCCCTCCAGGTCTCCTCGTTTGCCAAGATCTCCTCGCCTGGGCCATAGGCGAACAAATAGTGGAGGAGGAGGAGGAACAGGTAAGACGTTATCAATGGAGAATATCCAGTCCCTTAATGCAGCCTATGCAACATCTGGACCAATGTATCTGAGTGACCATGAAGGTGTAGCTTCTACTACTTTCCCAAAGGGCACAATGACTCTTGGAAGGGCTACAAATCGAGCTGTGTATGGTGGTCGAGTCACAGCTATGGGGAGCAGTCCGAATATTGCTTCTGCTGGACTTTCGCACACAGATGTCCTTTCTTATACTGATCAGCATGGAGGTCTGACCACATCTTCACACCATCACCACCATCAGGTTCCTTCTATGCTGAGACAGGTTAGAGATAGTACCATGTTAGACCTGCAGGCTCAGCTTAAGGAACTACAGAGGGAGAATGATCTTCTCAGAAAAGAACTAGACATTAAGGACAGCAAGCTGGGATCCTCCATGAATAGCATCAAAACTTTCTGGAGTCCTGAGCTAAAGAAAGAAAGAGTATTGAGGAAAGAAGAAGCAGCCCGAATGTCAGTTCTTAAAGAACAAATGAGAGTTTCCCATGAAGAAAATCAGGTAAGTAATTCTGGAAGTTTATTTCTGTTGACTTACAGCTAAGTACCTGATGTTTTGCTTATGGTACTGTATCCTATGCTGGAACAAGTTTGACATTTACAACAAGAATTTTATGTCTTGATCCATCTGCCTCTGGCTGCTAAACAGTAGGAAAGCGCATTAATAAGAATCTGAATGCAGGTTATAATTTTCTTCATGCATCATTCTTTCACGTTATAGCTGAAGAGAATGATTGTTTTTCACTACCCTTTTTCTTATTTTTGAAACTTTCTCTAGTGCTTTTTTGCAGCAACAGTCTAAATACACTTAGCAACCTTTTCCGAAGAGGTAAAGGAGGCACCTATGCAAAAGCATAAACAAACATC